GAGAGAGAGAACCAGAGAGAGAGAGAACCAGAGAGAGAGAACCAGAGAGAGAGAGACAGAGAGAGAGAGAACCAGAGAGAAAGCGAACCAGAGAGAGAGAGAGAACCAGAGAGAGAGATTGAGAGAACCAGAGAGAGAACCAGCGAGAGAGAGAACCAGAGAGAGAGAACCAGCGAGAGAGAACCAGAGAGAGAGAGAACCAGAGAGAGAGAGAACCAGAGATAGAGAACCAGAGAGAGAGAGCACCAGAGAGAGAACCAGAGAGAGAGAACCAGAGAGAGAGAGAGAACCAGAGAGAGAGAGAACCAGAGAAAGAGAACCAGAGAGAGAGAACCAGAGAGAGAGAGAACCAGAGAGAAAGCGAACCAGAGAGAGAGAGAGAACCAGAGAGAGAGATTGAGAGAACCAGAGAGAGAACCAGTGAGAGAGAGAACCAGAGAGAGAGAACCAGCGAGAGAGAGAACCAGAGAGAGAGAGAACCAGAGAGAGAGAGAACCAGAGATAGAGAACCAGAGAGAGAGAGCACCAGAGAGAGAACCAGAGAGAGAGAACCAGAGAGAGAGAGAGAACCAGAGAGAGAGAACCAGAGATAGAGAACCAGAGAGAGAGAGCACCAGAGAGAGAACCTTGAGAGTACCTGTATTAATGGCACCTGTTTGAACTTGTTATCAGTATAAAATACACCTGTCCAAAACCTCAAACAGTCACACTCCACACTCCACTATGGCCAAGACCAAAGAGCTGTCAAAGGACACCAGAAACAAAACTGTAGACCTGCACCAGGCTGGGAAGACTGAATCTGCAATAGGTAAGCAGCTTGGTTTGTAGAAATCAACTGTGGGAGCAATTATTAGGAAATGGAAGACATACAAGACCACTGATAATCTCCCTCGATCTGGGGCTCCACGCAAGATCTCACCCCGTGGGGTCAAAATGATCACAAGAACGGTGAGCAAAAATCCCAGAACCACACGGGGGGACCTAGTGAATGACCTGCAGAGAGCTGGGACCAAAGTAACAAAGCCTACCATCAGTAACACACTACGCCGCCAGGGACTCAAATCCTGCAGTGCGAGACGTGTCCCCCTGCTTAAGCCAGTACATGTCCAGGCCCGTCTGAAGTTTTCTAGAGTGCATTTGGAAGATCCAGAAGAGGATTGGGAGAATGTCATATGGTCAGATGAAACCAAAATAGAACTTTTTGGTAAAAACTCAACTCGTTGTGTTTGGAGGACAAAGAATGCTGAGTTGCATCCGAAGAACACCATACCTACTGTGAAGCATGGGGGTGGAAACATCATGCTTTGGGGCTGTTTTTCTGCAAAGGGACCAGGACGACTGATCCGTGTAAAGGAAAGAATGAATGGGGCCATGTATCGTGAGATTTTGAGTGAAAACCTCCTTCCACCAGCAAGGGCATTGAAGATGAAACGTGCCTGGGTCTTTCAGCATGACAATGATCCCAAACACACCGCCCGGGCAACGAAGGAGTTGCTTCTTAAGAACCATTTCAAGGTCCTGGAGTGGCCTAGCCAGTCTCCAGATCTCAACCCCATAGAAAATCTTTGGAGGGAGTTGAAAGTCCGTGTTGCCCAGCGACAGCCCCAAAACATCACTGCTCTAGAGGAGATCTGCATGGAGGAATGGGCCAAAATACCAGCAACAGTGTGTGAAAACCTTGTGAAGACTTACAGAAAAAGTTTGACCTGTGTCATTGCCAACAAAGGGTATATAACAAAGTATTGAGAAAGTTTTGTTATTGACCAAATACTTATTTTCCACCATAATTTGCAAATAAATTCATAAAAAATCCTACAATGTGATTTTCTGGAAAATATTATCTCATTTTGTCTGTCATAGTTGACGTGTACCTATGATGAAAATTACAGGCCTCTCTCATCTTTTTAAGTGGGAGAACTTGCACAATTGGTGGCTGACTAAATACTTTTTTCCCCCACAGTATGCACTCATCACTTTCCGTTATTTATTTTTTAGAATATTTTATTTTTTTCATTTCACTTCACCAATTTGGACTCTTTTGTGTATGTCCATTACATGAAATCCAAATAAAAATCAATTTAAATTACAGGTTGTTATGCAACAAAATAGGAAAAACGCCAAGGGGGATGAACACTTTTGCAAGGCACTGTACTGAACATTACTTACTCAAAGCATTATATTTCTGAACATGAGGCTCTGAGCTAGGTGATACCGTTGATGTTGATAATGATAATGGATATGAGGATGATAATGGTTTTGTTATCCTCTTGGAAAAATGATGTTTGTGTGTTTACAAGATATCACAGTCTAACTTCATTTCTTGACGTCCTTAGATAAACGTCTATTTTTGATAATAAACGGACTTCATCTCCAGATGTCCTGTATTTATGCACACAGCTCCCGCATGAGCTCCAGAAGATTTAGGCTCACAGAAACAACTCTACTGTTAAGTTAAGGGTTAAAGTTTGGGATAGGGTTCAAACAGAAATAACTCTAGGGTTAAATTCAGGCATTAATTCCAATTGGTTAAAAGTTCAGGTATTAATTATGATTGGTTAAGTTAAGGATTAAGGTTTGGGGTAGGGTTCATTAAGTTCAGGCATTAATTCCGATTGGTTAAGTGAAGGATTAAGGTTTGGGATAGGGTTAAAACAGAAAAGCAACTCCTCGGTTAAGTTTAGTCATTAATTAAGATTGGCCTTGCTAATTCATTGTGGATGGATGGCGCAGTGGTCTAAGCAGCTCCTTCTCTGTAGACTCAATCCCAGCTCTGGGCCTCTCCCGTCGTCCTGGGGACCTGCAAAACGTCAAATTTTGACTTGGATCTGGAGTAATCTCTCTGATTGTGTACAGGTAGCCTCGTGTCATTGTCATGGCCAAACAACCATGGGAGTTGAGACGATGAGACATTACTTACAGTAACACATGACGTACGATATATGTGTAGACGGTTACGTTCAAGATAAGTAGCCTACAATCAATGTAAAAGTGTTTAAATCAAATCAAATGTTATTTGTCACGTGCGCCGAATACAACAGTGAAATGCTTACTTACAAAGCCCTTAACCAACAATGCAGTTTTAAGAAAGAATACCAAAAAAGTACCCAAAAAACATTAAATAATTAAATAATAAGAAATAAAAATAAACAATAATTCAAGAGCAGCAGTAAAAATAACAATAGCGAGGTTATATACAGGGGGGTACCGGTACCGAGTCAATGTGCGGGGGCACCGGTTAGTCGAGGTAACTGAGGTAATATGTACATTTAGGTAGAGTTATTAAAGTGACTATGCATAGATAATAAACAGAGTAGCAGCAGCGTAAAAGAGTGGAATGCAAATAGTCTGGGTAGCCATTTGATTAGATGTTCAGGAGTCTTATGGCTTGGGGGTAGTAGCAGTTTAGAAGCCTCTTGGACCTAGACTTGGCGCTCCGGTACCACTTGCCGTGTGGTAGCAGAGAGAACAGTCTATGACTAGGGTGGCTGGAGTCTTTGACAATGTTTAGAGCCTTCCTCTGACACCGCCTGGTATAGAGGTCCTGGATGGCAGGAGGTTTGGCCCCAGTGATGTACTGGGCCGTACGCACTACCCTCTGTAGTGCCTTGCATTCGGAGGCCGAGCAGTTGCCATACCAGGCAGTGATGCAACCAGTCAGGATGCTCTCGATGGTGCAGCTGTAGAACCTTTTGAGGATCTGAGGACCCATGCCAAATCTTTTCAGTCTCCTTAGGGGGAATAGGTTTTGTCGTGCCCTCTTCACGACTGTCTTGGTGTGCTTGGACCATGTTAGTTTGTTGGTGATGTGGACATCAAGGAACTTGAAGCTCTCAACCTGCTCCACTACAGCCCCTTCGATGAGAATGGGGGCGTGCTTGGTCCTCTTCTTTTTCCTGTAGTCCAGAATCATCTCCTTTGTCTTGATCATGTTGAGGGAGAGGTTGTTGTCCTGGCACCACACGGACAGGTCTCTGACCTCCTCCCTATAGGCTGTCTCATCGTTGTCGGTGATCAGGCCTACCACTGTTGTGTCGTCAGCAAACTTAATGATGGTGTTGGAGTCGTGCCTGGCCATGCAGTCAGGAGGGGACTAAACACGCACCCCTGAGGGGCCCCCGTGTTGAGGATCAGCGTGGCGGATGTGTAGTTACCTACCCTTACCACCTGGGGGCGGTGTTGCTCTAACTAATGTACCTTTCGTTCTCTAATGATGTTAAAGTACAGATGTAGAATCCTGTTGCAGGAAATGTCAAGCTTGCAGTGTATTTGAGGTTTAAATAGGCTTATGAAATTTGTGTAACATCCATTTACACATTTCAGACTTGATTTCCCTTACAAAAAAAGTTATCCACCCCTTCAAAATGTTGCATTTATTTTAATCGACATAATTATTCACATTTCCTGTTCCTGCAGGATACATTTTCATTCTGTACCAAACTGGACCCAAATCAAGACCCTACATCTGTATGATAATGTCGCTCAGGGATGTAGCTCAGTTGGTAGAGCATGGCGTTTGCAACGCCAGGGTTGTGGGTTCGATTCCCACAGGGGGTATGAAAAAAAAAAAAATGTATGCACTAACTGTAAGTCGCTCTGGATAAGAGTGTCTGCTAAATGACTAAAATGTAAATGTAAATGTCCACCATATCAAGGTGCCAGAGGAGTTAGGGCCACGGTAATGTATTTAACTAATGTATGATAATGTCACCATATCAAAGATGCCGGAGGAGCTGGGTTCCTGCAGCAGGCTGGAGGTGCTCAGTCTGGCCAACAAACAACCAGATGACTGGTCTCCTCAAATGCCTGACTGCCATGAGGAACCTCCCCAACAGCCTGACTGCCACGAGGAACCTCCCCAACAGCCTGACTGCCACGAGGAACCTCCCCAACAGCCTGACTGCCACGAGGAACCTCCCCAACAGCCTGACTGTGTTTATAAATACTGTAGTTCTTAGATGCTTTAGAAGTGTTATTTGGACCCCCCCAACAGCCTGACTTCCATGAGGAACCTCCCCAACAGCCTGACTGCCATGAGGAACCTCCCCAACAGCCTGACTGCCATGAGGAACCTCCCCAACAGCCTGACTACCACGAGGAACCTCCCCAACAGCCTGACTGCCATGAGGAACCTCCCCAACAGCCTGACTGCCAAGAGGAACCTCCCCAACAGCCTGGCTGCCACGAGGAACCTCCCCAACAGCCTGACTGCCACGAGGAACCTCCCCAACAGCCTGGCTGCCACGAGGAACCTTCCCAAGCTCAACCTCAGCTACAACCGGATGGTCCACATCCCCACCTGGTCTACAGGTAAATGATGATCTCTCTCCCCTCTCCCACCAGTATGAAGGGTTTGGTCTTCCTCCACCTGGCCGACAGGTAACAGACTAGAGAACATAGCAGATCAGATCCAAGACCTAGTGAATCTGAAGATCCTCATTCTAGAGGGAAACTTTGCCGATAGTTCATGATATGATAGTTATTGTACTTTAACTTTTCTAGCCATTGATCCAAGGTCTATGTACATTTGTTGTTTTGTTACTGTAAAGTGTCTGTGTGTTGTTTTATTACTGTAAAGTTTAGGTGTGTTGTTTTATTACTGTAAAGTGTATGTGTGTTGTTGTATTACTGTAAAGTTTTGGTGTGTTGTTTTATTACTGTAAAGTGTATGTGTGTTGTTGTATTACTGTAAAGTTTTGGTGTGTTGTTTTATTACTGTAAAGTGTCTGTGTGTTGTTTTATTACTGTAAAGTTTAGGTGTGTTGTTTTATTACTGTAAAGTGTCTGTGTGTTGTTTTATTACTGTAAAGTTTGGTGTGTTGTTTTATTACTGTAAAGTGTCTGTGTGTTGTTTTATTACTGTAAAGTTTAGGTGTGTTGTTTTATTACTGTAAAGTGTCTGTGTGTTGTTTTATTACTGTAAAGTGTCTGTGTGTTGTTTTTACTGTTTGTTGTTTATTACTGTAAAGTGTCTGTGTGTTGTTTTATTACTGTAAAGTGTCTGTGTGTTGTTTTATTACTGTAAAGTGTCTGTGTGTTGTTTTATTACTGTAAAGTGTCTGTGTGTTGTTTTATTACTGTAAAGTGTCTGTGTGTTGTTTTATTACTGTAAAGTTTAGGTGTGTTGTTTTATTACGTTAAAGTGTCTGTGTTGTTTTATTACTGTAAAGTGTCTGTGTGTTGTTTTATTACTGTAAAGTGTCTGTGTGTTGTTTTATTACTGTAAAGTTTAGGTGTGTTGTTTTATTACTGTAAAGTGTCTGTGTGTTGTTTTATTACTGTAAAGTTTAGGTGTGTTGTTTTATTACTGTAAAGTGTCTGTGTGTTGTTGATGTCTGTATGTACCTGATGCAAAGCTGCAATCCTCAAACAAACATATTTTTTTTTACTGGATAGATAAAGTTGTTTTGTATTGTCAATAAAGTAAATTGTTTTGTATTGTCAATAAAGTAAATTGTTTTGTTTTGTGTTATGTAGGTTAGGGAAGCAGGCATGTCATCCTATGGATAAGGGAATACAGATTGTTCACAACCCTCTGCTCAAGCCCATCCAGGAGGTGTTACAAGGAGGCCTCAATGCACTATACAACTACCTCAGACCTGCCTGAGAGAAGCAAGTGTATGAGTGTGTCTGTTTGTGTCTGTATTTAAGCTAGCCCTGACTATGGGTGGTTGGGGATCATTTAGAGAGCTCCTTGTTGCCACGGGACTTACTACAGAACTGGCATGACCCGAATCATGTTCTCAGAACCAAATGTTATGAGACTACCTGGATCATAAGAGACTTTACTGTATAGGGGGACGTTACACATGAGAAGTGTTTTACATTTTAGCTATTTAGCAGACGCTCTTATCCAGAGCGACATACAGGAGCAATTAGGGTTAAGTGCCTTGCTCAAGGGCACATCGACAGATTTTTCACCTAGTCGGCTCGGGGATTAGAACCTTTCGGTTACTGGCACAACGCTCTTAACCCACTAAAGCTACCTGCTGCCCCCTATACTGTGTTTATAAATACTGTAGTTCTTAGATGCTTTAGAAGTGTTATTTGTCATATGGTGTTTTATTTAGTTTTTACCATCGAGGACCACTTTTGGAAACAAGTGATTTTAATATACTTAATAATACTTAATAATACTTTTAAAGATGGACTTGTTAGCGGTGAAACTGCCACAACCGTTTGCGATATTACAACAACAATAACTACATGTACATCAAATAATGAACACAGTTTTTTCCTCGGACATCATTGGTTATATTTTTCAGAATATTGGTGCTAAACCGTGTTATTGGAGGCTAGCATGCTAGTTATTAATGTAGCTAGCTTGTTGCTACCTGGATAGCTAACTAAACAATAGCTGGAACGAGCTGTAATGTTTGGAGACGCTTTCTCTCCGTTGGGACAGACGTGAACTGGCTAAATCGATTCAGTGGCTAGCTTTACACTTAACTAGCTAACAGTAGCTATTAAGGGTATGTTATAACCTACATTTATTTTTATTTTATTTTTACATACTGGTAACCAGAGTCGTTCAAAAGGAATTCAAGACATGGGTGACTAGTTAACGTAGCTTGGCTCTCTCTGTGTGTTTCATAACCGTGGGAGGAGGGGTTGGTTTGTTGACAGGAGAGCAATGACTAGCTAAACTATTCTAGCTAGCTAACTAACAGGCTGAATAAGTTGACGACGTACTCACTCAAACTGTCAAAAACTAACCCCCAAAACTTTACACAACGTTAGACACGGGACACGAATGATCTGTTTAGCGTGTTAACACACTATTGGTAGTTTGTTGTAACCGAAGTATTGGTGCTAAAACCGTGTTATTGGAAGCTAGCATGCTAGTTGGCAATGGCGTCATAGGATTCGGTGCCCTGGACGGTTTTCACGGAAGAATACTGTAACCAAGTTAGCTAGCTGGAATAAACTAAGTTAGAGTCTATTTCTAGGAAAACATTGAACCGCTGTAGTTTACAACAATTATAATTTCTAAAGTGGAAGTCGGGAGAGTTATTATTTGAGTGTTTCCGTGAAACGTAAGTTGAGGGAGGCCCCGCTCTCTCGCTTTCCCAGATGTTTAGTTCATTTCATTCGATCTCCTTTGCATATTGTAGCCTTTTCTGGTAGCCTGTCAAACTATGTGTCTGTCTATCCCTGTTCTCTCCTCTCTGCACAGGCCATTACAAACGCTTCACACAACGTGCACTCTAATCTGGTGGTCCCTGCGCGCATGACCCACGTGGAGTTCCAGGTCTCTGGGAGCCTCTGGAACTGCTGTTCTGCGGCCAACAAGGCAGAGTTCATCTCAGCCTATGCCACCCTCCAGTCCCTCGACTTTTTCGCGCTGATGGAAACATGAATTACCACTGAAAACACTGGCAACTCCTACTGCTCTCTCCTCGTCTGAAACATGTGTTCTCGGATACCCCGAGAGCATTCTGGTCAGCGCGGGCGGTTTGGCACAGGAATCCTCATCTCTCCCAAGTGGACATTCTCTCTTTTTCCCCTGACCCATCTGTCTATCTCCTCATTTGAAGCCATGCTTTCACAGTCAACTAGCCCATTCAAGCTTAACATCCTTGTCATTTATCGCCCTCCAGGTTCCCTTGGAGAGTTCATCAATGAGCTTGACGCCTTGATAAGATCCTTTCCTGAGGATGGCTCACCCCTCACAGTTCTGGGGTGACTTTAACCTCCTACGTCTGCCTTTGACTCATTCTCTCTTTTCCACTCCTTTCCTCTTTTGACCTCACCCTTCTCACTGGTCCCCCCCTACTCACAAGGCAGGCAATACGCTTGACCTCATCTTACTAGATGCTGTTCTTCTACTAATCTCACTGCAACTCCCATCCAAGTCTCCGACACTACTTTGTATCCTTTTCTCTCTCCCTCTCCTCCAACACTACTCACTCTGCCCCTACTCAGATGGTAATGTGCCGTCGCAACCTTCGCTCTCTTCCTCCTGCTACTCTCTCCTCTTCCATCCTATCATCTCTTCCTCTGCTAAATCTTCTCCCTCCGATCTCCTGATTTCTGCCTCCTCAACCCTCCTCTCCTCCCTTTCTGCATCTTTTAACTCTATGTCCCCTATCCTCCCAGCCGGCTCGGTCCTCCCCTCCAGCTCCGTGGCTTGACGGACTCATTGCGAGCTCACAGAAGAGGGCTCCGGGCAGTCGAGTGGAAATGGCTCTGCCTCTAAACCCTGAATCCTCCTTGACGACTCCATGCTGAATCCTCCTCCTCCCTCCCCCTCCCTCCTACCATCTCTGTGGGATGATTTGTCAACCATTTTGAAAAGAAGGTTGACGACATCCGATCCTTCATTTATTAAGTCAAATGACACCGTGGTCCTGCTCACACTGCCCTACCCTATGCTTGACTTCTTTCTCCCCTCTCTCTCCAGATGAAATCTTGCGACTTGTGACGGCCGGCTGCCCAACAACCTGCCCGCTTGACCCTATCCCCTCCTCTCTTCTCCAGACCATTTCCGGAGACTTTCTCCCTCACCTCACTCATCAACTAATCCTTGACCGTTGGCCATGTCCCTTCCGTCTTCAAGAAAGCGAGAGTTGCACCCCTCCTCAAAAAACCTACACTTGATCCCTCCGATGTCAACAACTACAGACCAGTATCCCTTCTTTCTTTTCTCTCCAAAACTCTTGAGCGTGCCGTCTCACCACTGGTGTCCCCAGGGCTCAGTTTCTAGGCCCTCTCCTATTCTCGATATACACCAAGTCACTTGGCTCTGTCATATCCTCACATGGTCTCTCCAATCAGTGCTACGCAGACGACAATTATTTTTCTCCTTTCCCCCTTCTGATAACCAGGTGGCGACTCGCATCTCTGCATGTCTGGCAGACATATCAGTGTGGATGACGGATCACCACCTCAAGCTGAACCTCGGCAAGACGGAGCTGCTCTTCCTCCCGGGGAAGGACTGCCCGCTCAAAGATCTCGCCATCACGGTTGACAACTCCATTGTGTCCTCCTCCCAGAGTGCAAAGAACCTTGGCGTGACCCTGGACAACACCCTGTCATTCTCCGCTAACATCAAAGCGGTGACCCGATTCTGCAGGTTCATGCTCTACAACATTCGCAGAGTACGACCCTACCTTACACAGAAAGCGGCACAGGTCCTAATCCAGGCACTTGTCATCTCCTGTCTGGATTACTGCAAACTTGCTGTTGGCTGGGCTCCCTGCCTTGCCATTAAAACCCTACAACTTATCCAGAACGCTGCAGCCCGTTCTGGTGTTCAACCTTCCCAAGTTCTCTCATCATCACCCCCGCTCGTCCGCACACTCCACTGGCTTCCAGTTGAGGCTCGCATCTACTACAAGACCATTGGTTCTTGCCTACGGAGCTGTGAGGGGAACGGCACCTCCTTACCTTCAGGCTCTGATCAGACCCTACACCCAAACGAGGGCACTACGTTCATCCACCTCTGGCCTGCTAGCCCCACCCTACCTCT